AAACAGCTACCTAGCCAACCAACTGGAAGAGGTCCATAGTAGTGCCCATTCTAAAGAAAGGTGATCTAACAGCCTGAGGAAACTATCAAACAATATCTAATACCACCAACTCCCCTCCAATTGATGAATGGATTATTATAAGAACTAGAAGAGCCCCTAATAAAAACTCCCATAAGAACTCCCCAAAAAACCCACTGCCATCTAGTTGATACCAACTTATAGTGCCTTTATGCGAGTTCTTATGGAGGTTCGTTCTTTCCTTTTTTTTTTTTTTAAGCGCATTTCATTAGGGGCTCTTACAGTTCTTATAATAATCCATACATCAATTGTAACAAGCATATTTGTACATATTTTGCCATCATTATTTTCTAAACATTTACTTTCTATTTCAACCCTTATTATCAGCTCTTCTTTTTTCCCTCCCTTCCACCCTTATGACTCCTTGATCAATTATAAATTATTATTATTTTCATATCTTAACACCAACCACTGTCTCCCTTCCCCCACAGTTTCTGTTGTTCGTCCCCCTGAGGGATTTGGGGGTGGGGAAATGTGTCAGTCATTGTGATTGGTTCCTCCTTCCTCTCTTCCTCTCCCCACCTTCCCTCTACCCTCCTGGTATATCTATTTATGGGAATTCTTTATGGGAGTAGAGAGCCTGATCTTTCTCCCTCAGAGAAACTGGAGGCTTTGAACTGCCAACCTGCAGTTACCAGCTCAACACCTAAGCACTACTCCATTAGGGTCTCCTCAACACTACTACACACAAGTCAAATTCTGCTTAAGATAATTGAAAAGTGTCTGCTATAGTATAGAGGCAGTGAACTGATTCTCTTACAGAAGGGTCGCAGGGAGGAGACGAGCCAGTCAGGGTCGGGTAGCAACGATGAAACACACAACTTTCCTCTAGTTCTTTAATGCTTACCCCCCCCCCCCCACTATCATGATCCCAATTCTACCTTATACATCCAGCTAGACCAGAGGATGTAGACTGGTACAGATAGGAACTGGAAACACAGGGAATCCAGGACAGATGATCCCTTCAGGACCAGTGGTGTGAGTGGTGATACTGGGAGGGTGGAGGGAGGGTGGGGTAGGAAGGAGGGACCAATCACAAGGATCTATATCACCTCCTCCCTGGGGGGTGGACAACAGAAAAGTTGGTGAAGGGAGACATCAGACAGTGTAAGGCATGACAAAATAATAATTTATACATTATCAAGGGTTTGTGAGGGAGGGGGGCAGGGAGGGAGGGCAAAATGAGCTGATACCAAGGGCTCAAGTAGAAAGCAAATGTTTTCTTGGTTTTTTTTAAAGCATATGTTTTGAGAATGTAACAAATGTACAAATGTGCTTGACAATGGATGGATGGATGGATTGTGATAAGAGTTGTATGAGCCCCCAATAAAATAATGTAAAAAAAAAGAAATTGAAGCCAGATTTAGAATAGGTGGCCTCTCGCTGCTGAAGTTAGATGGATCTTGGCTGAAAGCCAAGCGTTTACCTGTATTTTATTGACTGTACACAGGCTTTGGATTATGTGGATCATAACAAATTATGGCTAACCTAACAACGGATGAAGATTCCAGAACACTTAATTGTGCTTATGTGGGTCCTACATACAGATTAAAAAGCAGTTATTTGAACAGAACAAGGGGATAGTGTATAGTTGAAAATGAGGAAAAATATGTGCCAGGGTTGGATCGTTTATCATACATATTCACTCAGAAAATTGAGCAAGTAACCTGAGAAGTTGTACTATGAAAGAAGAACGAGGCACCTGGCTGGGAAGAAGATTCATTAACAACATGTGATCTGCAGATAACCTGGCTTGCTGAAAGCAAAGAGGACTTGAAGCACTCACTGATGCAGGTCAGTATGGATTACACTTCCACACAAAGCAAAGCTCCTCGCAACTGGATCGATAAAGCAACATGATAAATGGAGAAAAGATTGACGTTGTCGAAGAGGCTGTTTTCCTTTGCTTCCAGGGGAGCAGCATTCAAGATAGCAAATGACAGGTTGCATCTGGCCAATTGGCTGCTGCTGCAAAGGGGAGCCAATGGTGTTCAAAAGCCCAGAGGTCATTTGAAGACTGATGTGCACCAAGTCATGGTCTCTTTAATCACCTCCTGTGCGTGCCAAAGTAAAGCTGGACAATGAAGAAGCAAGACCAAAGGAGAAGTGATGCCTTTGAATTATGCTATTGGTGAAAATATTGACTATACCACAGGCTGCCAGAAGAATGAGCAAATCTGTCTTGGAAGAAAGACAGCCAGAATGCTCCTTAGGAATGAGGGTGGGGAGATGGTAGTTTGGACCTCCTGTCAGGAGGGACTGGTCCTTAGAGAAGGACATTATGCTTGGTAAAGAAGTCGCGATCAGTGGAAAAGTGGAAGACCTTCAGCAAGAACGGGTTCAAACATGCCTGTGATTGTGAGGCTAGCACAGGACCAGGCAGTGTTCAGTTTTTTGGTTCCTTTTTTCCCTGTTGTACCTAAGGTTGCTTTGACTCACAATTGACTTGCCAGCACAAAACAAACAACAGCAAATAAACAGTATAATTAAATTAATGGTAAAGTAGTAAAATACTGTGGGAATAGACAAGAAAAAACAAACAATACTCCCTGCTAATTTCCACCTCTTAGCGGCCCTATAGAACAGGGTAGAACTACCCCAGTGAGTTTCTGAGACTGAACTGTTTACAGGCGTAGAAAGCCCCATCTTCCTCCTGTGGAGCAGCTGCTGGCTTCAAAGTGCTGACCGTGCAGTTAGCAGCCCAGCGCCTAACCGCTATGCCACCTGGGCTCTCTGTGGGAATAGATGGTGATCCTTGGTGATGCGATGGTTGATAAAGGAAAGGTTGTTGGTTCACCGCTGCTCTGAAAAAGAAAGACCCAGTCATCTGGCTCCATAAAGAGGAAAACCCCAAAAACCCACAGGAAGTTCTGCTTTGTCACATTGGGTGACCAGTAGCCAGAATCTACTTAACAGCCCCCACCAACAACCACAGTAAATTAGGACTCAATTACAACAAGTCATTATGTGCTAAACAATGGTTATCAGCTTAAAGAAGAGATTATAAATAATAAGTTCCAGATCCTCATCAGTAAGAACTAGATGACCCTCATATTTTGTTGAGTAAGAGTTCCTTGAGCAGGCAAGGATTGTAGAATTAGAGCCAATTTAAGAAGAAAGGTCTGGAATGTTCTGTCGAGATAAGTCACATCTCTCATTGTGACATTACCTTGGAAAGTGAAAAAGCAAAAGTAGGTTGTCCCAACCAAGGCAGTTTATTTCCATTAAAGAAGAAACAGAAAGTTAACAAGTACCTTGGGCATTGTTCTGCAGCTGAAGTATACGGAGCAATAGTCTGAGGAAGGAACCTGTTGTGGTCAACCTAGCAACTCCAAGACGGAGTCGGACTGCCCAGGGCGTGCCGGGTCGGGGGTGTTTACCAGGCTGCATCATTGTGGGAGAAGATGAAGATGGGCCAGGTCTTTGCTCCTGCAGAACTGCTGATGGATTTGAACCCCCAACCTTTTGAGCGTCACCACTGTGCCCACAGGGCTCCATCTCAGGAGGAAGGATCACGTTGGGAACACAGCTTTACCTTACAAATGAAGCGCATCTCGCTCCTGGAGTTTTGCTTCTCTCGAGTAGGCCATTCTGTGTTCCTCAGCCTCCTAGAACTCTGGTCCAGTGAGTCTCGAGTAGAGTCTTGGAATGTCCGTGCTTCTCCGTGGGACTGCTCGGGTGTGGCGGAAGTGGGACTGACCTTCTCCACTCACTCAGCCAGTCCACGGGTTTCACTTGACGGAACTTGGGTTGGATTCTGCTTTGACTTCTCATAACTGTGTGATGGTGAGCAGGTAGGTCACTAAAACTCACCGAGCCGCCGTTTCCGCGTCTGTGAAAAGGGAGTGAGAGCAGTTCCTGTATCATGAAATGGTTATAGGAATGCCATGCAATAATGTGAAGTGAGTAAAAGATGTGGGCTCCTTGCCTCTCATTTTCCTTCTACACTTCGGCTTGCTTTGTTTTTAGCCCCTCCTAGGAGCTCTGGGAGCCCTGGTAGTTTAATGGGACATGCATCAGGCTACTAACTTATAAAGTCAGTAGTTCGAAACCACCAGCTGCTCCTCGGAAGAAAAGTGAGGCTTTCTTATTCTGTAAAGCATACAGTCTCAGAACCTCACAGGGGCACGTCTTCTAATCTGTCCCATTGGGTTGCACTCTGAGTCGGAATTGATTCGATGGCAATGTGGGTTTTTGTTGTGGGGGGTGTTTTGTTGTCGATTTGTTTTTGAGGAGCTTTATACCATCTAATAGCCATAGAGGTGGGGGGAAAGGAGCAATCAGGAAGTGGAAAGAAATGTGGAATGGTGGCTTTTTCCTCTCCTGACTCTGCAATCGAGATATTTTGATATGGGAAATATCCAAGAAAGGGATTCAGCTATTGGACAGCCAGAGTTGAGTAATCACCATTATACAGCTTTGTAAACTCCATCCACACATTTGTGTGTCTATAGATTCAAAGGGACCAAGGATGGAAAAGGGTTTTGTTAGGATGGTAGAGGAATGTTGCTATAATATTATTATGTCTGGCGGGGGTGGGGTGGGGTCGGTCCTCTTTCTTTTATGGACTTGAATCTCCTTATGCTTTGCACCAAAAAGGAAAAAAAAGATCAGCAGGAGGACAGGATACTGGCGTACTGGGAATTGCACAGTGGGAATAACATGCCCCCATCTCATCTGTCCTTCTGCCCAGCCTTCCATTAACCATCATGATCTACCAGAGGCCTGGAGAGCTTCCTATCTGTGGTGCTTCAATGCCCTTGCATCATTAATATCATCATCTCTACCCTTCTTCTAGGAGTGGATCTTATGAGGGAGGTATGGAAGAAGTTCTGCATGCTTAGCTGTCAATCTGAACCATTTAGAGCCATCAGGGGACAAAGGCCGCAGTCACTGTGTAATATTCTGGACTTTCTTGGCAGGTGAATACTGCTATGCATGAGGCAAAACTAATGGAAGAATGTGACGAGCTGGTAGAGATCATCCAACAGAGGAAGCAAATGATTGCTGTCAAAATCAAAGAGACAAAGGTAAAGCACAGCACTTCAGTGAGGCCCAGGAAGGGTTGACTTGTCAAATGTGAACGTTTGATCCCGATTATCCCAGTCTGAACTCAAGTTCATGAAAGCAAGAGGAAATGAGGTGATCGGAAGTAAGGCAAAGAAATTTTTTGGCTCATTGCTACTAACCCAGTGAAAATGATGGCAATTCAAGGGTGTCAGAAATATTCTAGAGCTTTGCTTCGTTGCTGGCTACGTGTTAACATTATATGTACAAACATTCATTCAGTTTTGTCCACTTAGGATTTGGGTGCTTTGCTACAGGGATGTGATCAATAAATGAAAAAAAGAAAAAAGTCAAAGTAGAAATGTGGATCAAGATTGTAGAAGGGCTGATGAATGACAATGTAAGGTCATTAGGCTTAATCTGAGAGTTGCTGGGAAGTCCCTGCAATTTCATCGGAAAGTAGAAGATTGATTTGGCAGAGGTATTCCAGGTAGATCAGAATGGGCTGATAGTAAGATCAGGACAGTAAGTGAGGAGGCTTATGGAATGATCCTTGAAATATGTTGATGAATACCTAAGCCAGGATGGTGGAAACATAAAGAGAAAGGTAGACCATCATAGGCATTTGTAGAACGGCACAGTTAGGAAATCATCAAAAGATGAAGGAGAGAGAGAGAGAGAGAGAGAGAGAGAGAGAGAGAGAGAGAGAGAGAGAGAGAGGAATGAAAACTTCCAGGTTTCTAGCCTGGGAACTGAAGAAGCCTGGTCAAAAGGTCAGTGTTGAGCCTCCATGCAGCTCTATGGTTTTAGACTTTGGGACCTGCCGGTCAGTGATAGTGAGTATAAGCTTATGCCATGTGAACAATATGAGAAGTTATAAGAAACTGGGGTTTGCATGACCAACCCTGTGATGGCCAATATTTTATGCCATGCCGAGTGGTTCCAGTGAGCATCAAAATGGACGTTTCCAAGAGTACAGATTTATGAACACAGGTATGCATAAAGATGTGTAGGGATACAGCTACCTGGAAATATTAATACTTGTTAGGAAGATGTAGAGACTTTTCATTCGATATAAACTATCTTGACATGGAAATGCCAATAATTGTGATCTCAGGAGAGTAGAGGGTTCTTGCCACACTTCTCATTTTCTAAATGCCATATAGTGAGCACACACTGTTGTTAAAATCAGAAATACTCATGTTAGTCACAAAAGGAGGAGGTATATAACGGGAGAATATGTAACTGAATTTGGAGCATCCTAGGTGAGCGGCAGTAGGTCGGAGAAGGGGAGGTTGGCAGAAGAGACATAGGGGTTAGGGTGAGAAGGTGGTTTAGTACAAGGAGGGAAGATGGAATAGTCATATGCCTTATTTTTAGAATCACTGCAGCAAATTTCCTTCATGTTGTTTTATTGCTTTTAATTAAGCTCTCCATGTTTTATCTTATATATTTTTTCCTTTTCCTAATTCCTTTAAGGTTATGAAACTGAGAAAATTGGCACAGCAGGTTGCTAATTGCCGCCAATGTCTTGAAAGGTCAACAGTTCTCATCAACCAAGCTGAGCATATCCTGAAAGAAAATGACCAGGCACGGTTTCTACAGTCTGCAAAAAATATTGCTGAGAGGCAAGTTCTTTTGAAATGCTGGCTTTCATCAAAATGGACCCGGTTAAGGTCACTTAATTCTGTTCAGGCATATATCTAGCCACCTGAAGATTTTACAGGCCAGACAGTTGTTAAGCCCCAGTGGCAGATTGGCTTGTGGATTTCTGGAGACCTTATCTTCATCCCTTGAGTCCATTAGTTCTTCTAATGCATGGTCAAGTATCATTCCAGCTACTTCTATTGTGCTCTGCTACTCATTTAGGGCTTGAGCTTTGTAAGCTGCTATTGGTTGATTTCTACCATTGAGTTGATGCTAACTCATAGCTGTCCTATAGAACAGGGTAGAACTCTCTTGGTGGGTTTCTGAGATGGTAACTCTTTATGGAAGTAGAAAGCCTCATCTTTCTCACAGGGAGCAGCCAGTGGTTTTAAACTGCTGGCCTTGTGGTTAGCAGCCCACAGTGTAATGTACTACGCCACCAGGGCTCCTGGTATTCATATGGGTCAGTGAAATTTAGGATCACATTGATACGTGTGTGCACTTATTAAGTCAACTAGCATTCTTTATTGTTTCCGTGTAGTTTTTCTTCAGAAATCTGTTAAAGTAGTATAATTCTTAGCCTGGGTTTTGCTTTTATAAATCTTGGACATCTTGGAAAGTCATGAGCCTTCTTGAGGGGAAAAAACCGATGTGCTTGAAGGATGTACACATATCATTTCAGGAGAGTAAGTAAAAAAATTATTACTATTACGGTTTCCTACATAGATGGACTAATCCCAAATAAAATGTGTTTAAACATGTCTTTTGATCAGTGGATCGCTGACTGCAGACACGTTCTCTTGGTAAGACACTTGTTTTAGTCTCCTTATACTGCTTTCCCAAATAAGGTCCAATCCAAGCTGGGCCAGTTAAAATCACAGCTGTGAGGTCCACTCATTAGAAAGTCATGCAAGTTTATTTTGGGAATTCTAGAGGGATAATCCAGATAGATTTTTCTCAAAGAACATGGAACAAATATGGGGGGTGGGGTTCTTTGGAAACTGTTTCTATGAATGTTGAAAACTGGCTTGGTGAGAAAGAGGTCAGGATGTTTTGTTTTTTGTCTTTCCCCATCATGACAAGGTACCTGCCTATTCTCTGAGGGTAGCAAGGCTGTTCTAGGAGAATTTCATTGGGAAATTCTTACTCCATCCATCTTAGAACCTTGGTTTTGTCCCTTCCGACCTCTCTTTGTTCCCAACACTCAAAAATCATTGAAAAGGAACACGATTTGAGTCCCTGGCGGAGGCCCAAACTGCCATTTTAATAGGATGTAAGTAAAAAAACAAAACAAAACATTGCCATTGAGTTGATGCAGACTCGTAGTGACCCTATAGGACACAGTAGAACTGCCCCTGTGCAGTTCCTACTGTAACTCTTTAGGAGTAGAAAGTCCTGTATTTCTCCCGTGGAGCTGCTGGTGTAAATCAAAGAGTGCAGAATTGTTCGGGGAAGGTTTGGAGAGGTGGTAATACCACCTTTAGAAGTGTATAGACCTAAATTCAAGTTCAGAAATAAATCCACACATCTATGCTCACCTGTTGTTAAGGATGTGAAGTATATTCCATGTAGAAAGGAGAATCACTTCAACAAATGGTGCTTGGGGAATTGAATTTCCAAATGCAGAAAAATGAAACAGATCCTTGCCTCACACCATACACAAAGCAAATTCAAAATGAATTATGGACCTAAATGTGTAAGCTAAATGATTAGGGGTAGTTCTAGCTTTAAAAATAGGATTAGCTTATATAATAACGCAAACAGCAAAAGAAAAAAATAAATAGGATCTCATAAAAATTTAAAACTTTTGTTCATCAAAACACTTTACAAAAAAACCAAGCTACCAACTGGGAAAATGTCTTCAGAAACCATATATTTGACTGAATCCTTAGAGGATCAAATACACACACACACACACACACACACACACACATCAATAACAGAATGCCAAATAACCCAATCATAAAATGGGGGGAAAAACTTAGACAGTTTGCCAAAGAAGACATTCAGTTGACCACCAAACATACTGAAAGATACTGAGAATCATTTGCCATCACAGAGATGCAAATCAAAACCACAATGAGATTAAAAAACCAGCAAATAGATCATAGCTACTGTTAGCAAGGCTGTGATGTCCAGCTACCATTACTGAACATTTTGATAAAGGACTCTATAGAAAAATTCTGATCAAAATGGGGAAAATGGAGAACAGAATTTCAAATTATTTTGGACTACAGATTTCTTGGCGACATGAAGATTAGGTGAACCCCTAAAACTATTGCTCTGAGGTCATCTTTAAACCTTAAACCAAAAATATGCCCTGAAGTCTTCCTGAAGCTGAACAATAATTTTGTTTAACTAAGAAACAATGTTTGTCTTGAGCTTTGTACTCTTTTAAGGACTATCTATACGGGATCAAATTGACATCAGAAGATTAGATAAGAACCCTAGGGGGCAGTTCATGAGGGAGAAACAACCAGTTCATGAGATGAAAATGGTCATACATCTTGAACACTAAATTGTACATTTAGAAACAGTTGAATTAGTGTATGCTTTGCTGTATATGTTCTCAAGAATGACAAGATAAATATATAAAAATTAAGGAAAAAAGTTTTCTTCCAAATCCCACATTATCTTGATTTTCTCTGTTCTTATTTATTCTCTGCTGGATTGTTTTGGTTTCTGCCTTTCCATAATTTACTAGTAAACTTTTGGCTGCTTTTAAAAATTTAAGCACTAAAATGAGACTTGAAGCTCTGAGGGGTGGGGTCATATGTCTAAATTATTCCCTTAGTATATCTTTTAGGAAGTAGAGCTGTGGATTCAACAGGAATCTTAAAATATTTTGATAATTAGTGTTAAATTGGCTTTCACAATTTTGTATCAATGTATAGTAGTCAATTAAAGTGTTAGCATTATTGAATATGGACCACTTAAAGGGCCTATGATATGTCACCCTTTCTCATCTAAATGATATGTTAATTTACAGCTCCTGGATTTCTAATGTAGTGAACATTTTTTACATGTTTGTTGGACATTGGTATTCTTTTCTAAATATTTTAATTTGTGTTCTTGTTGAGACTATACACAGCAAAACACACAACAATCCAAAGTTTCTACATGTAGATGTAAGTGATATTGATTAAATTATTTGCATTGCACAACCATTGTCACTCTCCTTCTCTGAATTGCCCCTTCTCCATTACCAAAATCTTATTGCCCCCACGTTTCTATCTGATCTTTGGAGTTGTTAGTGTCAATTTGATCCCACATGGATAGATATTAAAAGAGCATAAGGTTTGAGGCAGATGTGTTTTCTAGTTAAGTTACAAGTATTTGATTTTATGAAGACTTGAGGGGGGATAGTCTTGGTTTAAGGGTTAAAGGTTATCTCAGAACCATCCCTCAAAATTCACTGCCATTGAGTCAGTTCTGATTCAGAGTGACCCTGTAACAGGGCAGAGTAGAACTGCTCCAGTACATCCACAGTGCCTCATAGACAGAAAGCGCTCAATAGTCCCTACCATGTTGCTGTTGTTCATGCAGTGATTATTTACTGACTACGTGTCCAATAGTGTAGATATCGGAGGTAAAAATAAGACCTCTTGAAAAGTTTAAAAGAAACAAGAACAAGTGTAGTAGGTAACACGAGCATAGCATACAATTAGAGAATACTAAAATGAAGCATAAATGTTATAAGAGATCAAATAAAAGACAATATTTACGGGAAGGCTTTTATTATCTAACCTGCTGGCTGGTTGATTAGCATAAAACTAGAGGGAAAGGGAAACAAATTCTTTTCAACTGCGCTTACCACAGCCTTCAGAGGTCTAGTTTTGATGCTCTCTGCCAAATGGAAAATGATGCAGAGGGGGAAAAATCCTGTATTTACTTCTCAGAATTAAGACAGGATGGGGGAGTGTGTTTGAGGGGGGAACATATGTGAATAAATATGGTATAACCCTTAATTGGTTCCTTATGATTAAAATTTAAATGATTTTTCCTTTGGAGAAGCACAGATACATTTTTCATTTAATGAATGAAGCCCTGCAAATCATTTGATTTTACCTTGTTAAGTTAGAACTCAAACACTGAAGGTTGCAAGCCTATGTTGATGTATATTGATGTACTTTTTTCTTTTTCAGGGTCGCTATGGCAACAGCATCCTCTCAAGTTCTGATTCCAGACATCAATTTTAATGATGCCTTTGAAAACTTTGCTTTAGATTTTTCCAGAGAAAAGAAATTGCTGGAGGGGCTAGATTATTTAACAGGTGTGGAAATATTGCACTTTTCTGTATATTAAAAACAAGTGTTCCTTTCAAAATAATCTGAAAAGGTCAACAGTAAGAGAAGAATACTTTGATAGCTTTGTAAAGTATACAAACATTTATTTGGGCAGGATATATTTTAGTTTGTGTGACAGACAAAAAGGATGGTTTTATAAATATTTCTGGGGCAGAATTGGTTGGTATGCCATTCATACTTGAAGATAAAACAATAAATGTCTGATGAGTTTCTTCTTATGAGCCTATCAGTAATATTCTGTTGCTTATTATGAGTGCAGAACTCAGGTGGCAATTAAGGAGTATTAGAAGGGTGTTCCAAAGGTGTGCAGGTACCACTCAGATAGTTTAAGAGAAATTTAGGAGTTAGCAGATTGGGAAGACAAATGTCAGAAATTACCTGATTTGCAGTCCATTTTTTGAAAGCAAGGGATGCAATCAGCCCATTAAAAGTGCTGGCTACCTTCAGGATTATTGAATGACCAATTTATATGGAAAAGTGTACACACACAATAACTTTGTTCATGTGGCTACTTTTGCTAATATAGTAAAATCACTCTCATTTGTTTTGTAACAGATGCGGTCTGTTAATTTTGTATGATCAATTTCTACCACACATCTGTGAAGTAATTGTTATTCCTGTTTTACTGATGAGGAAATTCACATCGATTTGTAATTGAGGATACTACAAAATATCTATAATGAGACTTATTTTGAAATAGAAATCAGTTGAGGACCATAGAATAAGATAAACCACATGGACATTTTGATCTAATACCTATATGTGTGTTTATACGGTGTGTTAGTGTAGGTACATTAGAGAAACAAATCCACAGAAACTCATATGTATAAAAAGAGAGTTTTGTATAAAGGTTAAGTATACCTTAAGAAAGTATCCCAACCCAGTCCAGTCCAAGCCCGAAAGTCCAACATTAGCCCATATGTCTGACACCAATCTACAAAGTCCTCCTCCATCTCACAAAACACACGCAATAGCACTGACCGCAGGAGGAAAGCCAAATCAGTGAGCGTGTAAGCATCTCAGCACTGGCAGGGGTCTCCACATGGCTGCTCCAGCACGCAGGGATGCATGGGGTAGGTC